TGTCAATGGAAAAGCAACCATGAAACCCCATTTGCCACCAAACCATATCACATAGTGTCGCGGTGTCGCCTGGAGCTTGGTTTCCATCATGAAAATAATATGTGGTTTCTTCTCTCGAACCAGATCATATAAAACCTGACATGTAGCCAGATTTTTGAGCCCTCTGCAGTTTCGTGTCACGATGTTCATCGCCCCTGAAGTCTTGAACCAATCTCCAGTCAAAACCCACAAACTATGTCTAGAACCGACCCTATGGTGCGATGTCCTATTTTGTCTTCTTACTCGCTGAGGGATTCCCCGAACACAATTGCGAATTGCACAACCTGCAAGAAATCTATGGAAGAAATCCACGAATCAAGAAACAGAGCCCCAAACCTGAAGCCGACTAAACTTTGCTGCACCCAAGAATCATTGCCGACGATGAGAGGCGCAACCCCAAACAACCCTAGACGTGCTAGGCTCCGACCGCCGGACACTAGGGAACAATCGCCGCCAGAAAAACCAAAAACCTAGAAATCTAGTCTTGCTTTATTTCTATAATCATTGTCGCGAAGGGATTGAATGTCGGGGTACACATTATAATGTTTGTTAAAAAGTGACTTTTAATGTGATATTTTGTTTGTGTACATTAGATAAATAAATAAATAAATAAATAAATAAATAAATGTCCCATACTTCCTCATGGACCGATGTATTCTGCCGGCTTCTAGTCTGAATCGTTATTTTCCTTGATGAAGAAAAGCATAAGCAAACAGTGCATCAATAAAGCCGGCTTTTATTTTATATATTCAACTTTTATCAAATTTGTTTTTTTTTGCGACTCCGTAAAACTTTTAATGTAGATTCTGAATATGTAACTACAAATATTTTAAGTGTTGACCTGGTTCAATTTACTCTATCGTCAGTCAAACATCGTAAACCACAAAAAGACTATCAGATTGGGATAGAGGTAGTACAAAGTACACAGTGGATAGATGCCTCCGCCCCCAAGAACATTGAAATGACGCCTCATCCTTAAATTTGCTTGATACGGTGTATATATTACCAAAAAAAATCAAAATAGGAGTAAAAACGTTCAAAAATTTTAAAACCGGATTGTCGTGTATTTTATTTTCTAAATATGGGTAACTACTGTCATGTTTAAAGTCTGATACTTTCAAAACATAACCGTAATTACTCTTATTTAAAGAACAAAAACATGGCACAAACGTTTTTACTCCTATTTAGGGCATTTTTCTTAGAGTTATATGTACTCCCACGGGCGAGACATGTTTTCTTTATTTTTTCCGGTCAAGTAAAATATTTGCTTGAATTGAGGAAAGTAGATACAAAATAAAAAGATATATCCCGATTGTGTAATAATTTTTTATTACTGTCAAAAGAGTCCGTTTGTTGATAACTTTTTCTCTTATCAACCAACTTTTTCACAAAATACGTAACTTTTCATTTCGCGGGCTGAATTGCGTAAAAATAACTAAAAAAGAAAAAATAAGGTTGAAGTTACTTTCCTGACTGTATTGGTTGAAGTTAATGTAGAGGAATATTTTAGCTATTTATCAAATATTTTTTTCCTATTTTATTAATAAAATACGCTATTTTAAATATAATTTTTACATAAATCAGCAGAATCAGTCAATCGAGTTATTTCAACCAGAACTTCATAAATTTCAGCAGAATAAGCCGATTCATCTTATTTTAGTATTTTAAAACAGGCTCCAAATAATAAAATTTACCAAATAAAAAAGATACCACCTTTACAATAAAATTTTTACAATTTTTTTTTGAAAGTGAATTATTTTAATTACTGTCTAAATAAAAAGCCACCACATGATTGCTTCATGTTCTTGAATTTGACTATCTTTTCTTACTAGACGTGTCCTATGTTGCTAAAGTCCAAATAGAAGTTCTTCATGAGCCCGTTTGGTAACACAAAAATCAGCTGATTCGGTTGGTTCTGCTGAAATTTATGAAGTTCTGGCTGAAGTAGTTGCATTGACCGATTCTGCTGATTTAAGGAAAACATATTTTTGAAATATATTTTATTAATAAAATAAAGAAAAAATTATATGTAAAATAGCTAAAGTGATCATCTACAGTAACTTCAGCCAATACATCAGAAAAGTAACTACAACGCTACTTTTTCTTATTATTACACAATTTAGCGCGCGAAAAAAATAGTTACGTGTTTGATGAAAGGGTTGACTGATTAACCTCATAAGTCTAAAAATAGTGTTATCAAATAGCTCCATAGCCTATTCAAATTCTAAAACAGCCGGCTGAGCCTTTGTTTTTATCAAAGCTCACAAACAAGCGCAGTCGGTTTTGTTAACTTTTCTTCTTTCTAGTCTAGAAACAGGAAAGTAGAATATTCCATGGAGTATGCTTTGTTCTTTCGCCACCCATGATTTCAATATCTTCTGCCAGCCTGCAATTGCCTTTTCCTAAACTTGCTAATCTATAGTTTTTTTTAAAGGGACTTGCTAATCTAAAGTTACGCAACCAGAAAATATGGAGTAGGAAAACAAACTACGGAAAAAGTGTGAAATAAACTCTTCTATTCTACTATCGTCAATCAATCGGTCAATCACATTGCTCATACATTAAAAAGCAATGTATAAGTACATTTGTTTTTAAAATACAATCAATCTGGCCATTTAACTAGTTTTTGACTTGTAATAACATGTTTTTTATATTAAATTTTTTTTTAAAGAATTGTTAAATTTTGAGGATTGTGATTAAAATTGGGGACTTTCCAGATTGTCAAAGTCAATTTTATTTGTATTTTTTGAATTGTTTGTATATTCTAATCCATTTAAAAAGTTTTAAAATTATACTACGTATATTTTGTTTTTTTACATTTATAATTTATTTTTCAGTTTTTATTTTTACATTTTAAAATAATTTATCTAATTTTGCATTTATACTATTTTTTATATTATTATTAAATTATTTTTAAAATATATATGAATTTTTATAAGATTTATCAATTTTCTTAAATTAATTTTGAAAAGTAACTTGTCATAGCAGGTCAAATGGAGATTATATTTTAAAAATAAATGTACTTATATGATACTCTTTAAATTACATGAGTTTAAGTGATGAAATGAAAATAGTAGAAGGATCTATTTGATCCTTTTTCCTATAATATATGCATATAGAATAATAAAATTAAAACTATACTTGAGACTTATGCAAAATAAGGAAAAATAATTATAATACTCCCTCTTAAAATTGACTCATCTTTCCTTTTCATTCCGTTCTACTAAGATTGTCACATACGAAGTATAAAACTTAGTAAAGTTAGCGTGGTTCTAATACATTGTTGATTTATTCGTATTACTTTATCAATTCAACATCAATTACATAAACAGAAGTAGTACTATCTGAAGCAAAATTGGCTGAATCTTCTGAATTATATAAAATTATACTTCATAGGAGTGTTTTCAAGAAACAATTACTGCTTAAATTAAGCACTCACAAGCTAAAAGTTGGAATCAGATGAATGTGTTCTTTAGCTTTCTTTTCACGTTTAATTTTCTTTTGCACAAAAATACTTATTTTAGCAAATACTGTCAATATTTACTTTTTCAAAACTATTTTTTCTCAAACACTATCGACTTTTACTATTAAGCACTTACCCAAAAATTACTTTAAAAATTATTATTTTTTAAATAGATGCAATCACAAACAGTCACTTCATACTCCCTAGCTCACAAGCACATTATAGAGCAGTTTTTCTCTTTCATTTTACCTATTAAAGCATACCAAATAATGAAATGGCGCTGGATGGAGTAAAATTACATTCTATTTAATTTTTTTAAACTTTTTTTATACATGGGAAAGGAATTATGAGTACATTTTATAACAATCAAAATTTATCTGATTTGATACATTTAAATTTGGAGTCCATTTGCTAAGACTGAAATTGACTGAATCGGTTAATTCTGCTGAAATTTATGAAGTTTTGACTGGATTGATGGATTCTTTTAATTTATACAAATAACAATTTATTAATAAAATAAAGAAAAAATTATCTAATAAACAGCTAAAAATAATCTTCTACAATAACTTCAATCAACATAGCTAGAAAAGTAACTCCATTCTCATTTTTTCTTATTATTACAAATTCAGCGTGCGAAATTAAATGCTACGTACTCCCCCCGTTCTTTATTATTAGTCCTTCTTTCGTTTTTGGGATGTTTTTTTATTTGTCATCTTTTTCATTTAAGGAAAGTTTTTGAGAAAATACATCAACTTTTATTACTTTTACCACACTTACTTTTTACAAACTATTTTCTCTTTCCTACTTTACCACCACTTTACTCTTCTTAATATACTTTCTTTCCTACTTTATCACCACTTTACTCTTTTTAATACTCCTTCCGTCCTGGAAAATTGTTCCCGGTTTCTTTTTTGGGCCGTCCCAAAAAATTGTTCCACTTTCCCCTTTTGGAAAGTTTTTTATGACTACAGTTCATTTATCTTTTTCTTACTCAACCACAACCATATATTTCCACTTTATTCCCACTTTCTTAAACTCCGTTCCAAATCAATGTGAGAACAATTTTCCGGAACGGAGGGAGTATACTCTATTTCCTACTTTAACATTTATCCAACACACTCTATACTTATCATACTACTTTTTTCTTAAAAATCGTGCCCAGGGGCGGAGCCAGACCACTGGGTCGGACTGGGCCGGTGCAAATATTATTTTTAGGAAAAAAATTACACGAAAGTTTTTACCTTGAAAATTAAGCCATTTTTAAAATTTGGGGTGGACAAGAGCCTAGGTTGGCCCATCCCTAGCTCCGCCCATGCTCGTGTCAAAGCTTAGAGGGACTAATAATAAAGAAGGGAGGTTGGAGTATTTAGTAAAAAATTTTTTATCTAAAAGCATGATAAACCAAAAAACTGGCTTTCCGTTTAGTACGAATGAGTCGTCCGATTGAAACCATTGGTTCTTTCTTTTTGAACAAGACATCGCACGAGGAAAACATAGGCACCACAAGTCACGTGACACCCGGCGTCAAACCTCGCAACAGCTACCTTATATATACACCGCTCCGCGGTCTCGACTTCTCCGTCATATTACCTTCTGTAATCTCAAAATCTCTCATCCTTTTCAAATTGCTCTCTAATCTTAAGCATCCACCATGGGGAAGATCAAGATCGGAATCAACGGTACCGATTCATCAATGGTCATTTTTCTGTCGTCATTCATAGAATAACTAATCAATCACTTATTTTCTTCGTTTTCGCTGTAGGATTTGGGAGGATCGGCCGATTGGTTGCCAGGGTAGCTCTTCAGAGTGATGATATTGAGCTTGTTGCCGTCAATGATCCATTCATCACTACTGAATACATGGTGCGATGATTTTTTTTTTAAATTTTACATAGCTTTACTGCACTTTGGGACATGCAATTGCTTTCTGATGTATGAATATGTGATAGCTTTGAGTCATTTGATCTATTCAAGTATAATATTTGAATGTGATTTTTGTGTAGACTTACATGTTCAAGTATGATACTGTGCATGGGAAATGGAACAACCATGAGTTGAAGGTCCATGATGAGAAGACCCTTCTGTTTGGCGAGAAGCCAGTTAGAGTATTTGGATTGAGGTACTGGTTTGTCATATTCAGATTGTGGATCTGAGAACGCTTAATGTTTAGATTACTTATGGCTGTTTTTTTTGGATGAATATACCAGGAACCCTGAAGAAATTCCATGGGCTGAGGCAGGTGCGGAGTATGTGGTAGAATCTACTGGAGTCTTCACTGACAAGGACAAGGCTGCTGCCCATTTGAAGGTTTGATGTTCCCCTGGTCAACTTTTTATGGTTTCTTTTAGAGTGTTTTTGCTTGATGAATACAAGATCTAACGTATCAAGTTTTTGCGCTATTGATAGATGTGTATTTGTGTCAGCCTGCTACCCTACTGTTTTATGATAATATCCTGTATTTAAAAAAACTGAATGCAGTGTTATTATTCATTGTCTTTTTGTGTAATCTCCATATGTGTTGGCAGGGGTGGAGCTAGAAAAATGTGTGAGGGGGGTCGGAATTTAATAATATACAATATCAAAATTATGGATAGTTATTATACAATATTTGAGTTAAATGTTTCATACGTAGCTGAGATAAATGATAGTTTAATGAGCATTTTTCAGTTAATGAATTGATATATGTGTGATGTATCATAATGTTCACACAACTAATATACATTTTAAATTTAACACATCAAATTTTGCTTATTTCAAGTTAAGATGGTGCTGATTTTTCCGGAAGTCATAACTTTTTACTCGTAACGAGTTACGAGACCCATAATATATCAAATCGAAGGTATTTCAGAGCTCTACATTCTTGAACTTTCAGCGGGGTCGGCTGACCCCCCTGACCCCCCCTTGGCTCCGCCCCTGGGTGGTTGGTTGGTATTGTGATTCAGCCAGAATGTAGCTAGATCCACATGAATTAATGTGATATACTTTTTATCTGATTATTGATATTGATGGTTTTGTATAAACTTGCTCTGATGAAATTGTGTGATTGAAATTTGTTTTGATGGATGATTAAATTTGTGGTTGAGCAGGGTGGAGCTAAGAAGGTTGTGATATCTGCTCCAAGCAAAGATGCTCCTATGTTTGTCGTGGGAGTTAATGAGAAGGAGTACAAGCCAGAGCTTAACATTGTCTCCAACGCAAGCTGCACCACTAACTGTCTTGCTCCTTTGGCTAAGGTTAGAACCACTAAAGCTTTTCCCCTCTTAACAAATTTATACTGTGTATTTTCTTGATAATAGTCACCTTTGAACATATAACTTGTTGAGGTTGGATATTTTTTGGACGACTGTTTTCTGACAAATGGTTTTTAAATGGTATGGATGAGACCTGATTCCAGGCATGCTCGTTTGGCCCAGAACTGTTCGATTGGTGAACAAAATAGAATTATTTATCAATTATAATTATTGGGGGTAGTTTCAATATCATGACCAGTTGTTAAGTAGTTAAGCAATTACCGTTTGGTAGTCTATATAATCTACATTTGAATTTGAATGAAGAAATGAATATACACGCTTTCTTCCTGTGGTTTTCTTCTTTCTTGTAAATCTTGTCTTTTTCTCTTCTTTAGCTCTTTTATGTATTTCGTATTCGATGCATTTTTGTACTTCAATGTGACCATATTCATTGTCCAAAACTGATGGTTGCACTGCAGTCATTTGGTCTAGATCATCTGTTCCAAATGAGGCAAATAACATTCGTTTTTGCAATTGTCGTGGTTGATGTATTTGTTGTGATAAATGGCTGCAGGTTATCCATGACCGGTTTGGCATAGTTGAGGGTCTTATGACTACTATCCACTCCATCACTGGTGAGTTTTCTCTTTTGCATGTATAATACTCCGTAACAGCAAATGTCATTTTTTGCAATATTTATTTGCATGTTCCATTGGTTATTGCTAATTTGGTGTTATATTTTTGTATTTTAGCTACTCAGAAAACTGTTGATGGTCCATCCATGAAGGACTGGAGAGGTGGTAGAGCTGCTTCATTCAACATTATCCCTAGCAGCACTGGTGCAGCCAAGGTAACAATCATTAAATTTTTATCTAATATTATTCCTCTCTGTTCATTATGTTTTACTGTTATATCATTTTTTCTTCCAACTGCATTCAAAGGAAAGATTTGTGTGGTTGGTATTATTTCTACCCCTTTTTCATAATCCGAAACCACACAATTTTACTTTCCTAATAAGTGTGCCTAATTAAAACGGGAAGAAAATATTGGGATGCGGAAGTTTTAATTAATGCTAACAATGTATTTTTTTTAAAAAATCTTGTTGATGAAGTTCTGTTGTCTATCTTTTAAAGTTCTAGAACTGCAATTTTTCTGATTTATTGGCATATATACCTGCAGGCTGTTGGAAAGGTTCTCCCAGCCCTAAATGGAAAATTGACTGGAATGTCCTTCAGAGTTCCCACCGTTGATGTCTCTGTTGTAGACCTTACTGTTAGAACTGAAAAAAAGGTCAGCTATGAGGATATCAAGGTTGCCATCAAGTAAGTTAAAATACTAGTAGTGGAAATATTAAATTGGGTTTTGCTGGTCCTTTTAATGTACTATTTGCTGGTGTAGAACTGATGTAGATTTACTTGTGAGCCATCTAATATTCCCACCCAATGTACACGCGGGTGGATAAGCCCATGCTCCAATGTTATTGATGGAGGTTTCCTATAATATTACTAAAATATAACTCAAACAAAAATATGACTTTATGGTCAGTTGGTCACTATAGTCATTGCGAAAATACCATAATGGTTACTTTAGTGTGAATGAAAAGCATCAGCAAGGTTACTACTATGGAAATACTACTGTGGTAACTACATCTTAAAATACATACTAGTAATATTTTCCATTATTATCATTGTTTTTGTATATATTAATATTATTATGAAGGTATGAAAAAAATATTGAACATTTTTTTTCAGGGAGGAGTCTGAGGGTAACCTCAAGGGTATCCTAGGTTACATTGAAGAAGACGTTGTATCATCTGACTTTGTTGGTGATTCCAGGTAAATTTAATTCACTTATAGGGACGATTACTTTATCTTCTGGGTAAGCCTTTAGCCTTTTCATGTCTGCCCGCCATTCATTTTCCCCTCACAACTTTGGGTTGTATTGGAAACAGGTCCAGCATCTTTGATGCCAAGGCTGGAATATCTTTGAGCGAAAACTTTGTCAAGCTCGTCGCCTGGTATGACAATGAATGGGGTTACAGGTAAAAATGTGATGCAGTTCTCCACATATAACATTGTATAACCTGTTATCTCTTCAACAAATCCTTTATTCTGATTACATGAGCATTTGTGGTTTATGTAGTTCTCGGGTGATTGATTTGATCCGTCATATGCACTCTGCATAGGAAGGCTCTCGGACTCGGTTGCGCTGCATACTTTTTATGGGATTTCAGGACCAGCGAATGTCGCACTTTTGTTTTTTGTTTATGTTTTTTTTGTAGTAATCAAATGAATAAACTAGAGAAGTGTCTTTGGGTCTTTTCATGGTTTTTATCCTTCTCTATACGGAGTAGTAAAAGTCGTCTTTGTGAAGTACAATGTTCCTTCTTTTTTGATACTACGGGTCTTTGGGTCTTTTCATGGTTTTTATCCTTCTCTATACGGAGTAGTAAAAGTCGTCTTTGTGAAGTACAATGTTCCTTCTTTTTTGATACTACGTACATCGGAAAGGAAGTGCAATGTTCCTTGTAATGCGTATAATGCGTAATGGATAAGCTTTTTTGTATTTATTTCATCTTACCAAATTGTTGGTATACACAAACATACCAAATTGGTTGTGTACACGGAGAGTCTACACACAATATGAACACCAAACAAGACTCTAAGTAATAAGTATTTTTATATACATAGAACCAGTTTGGTGACTCTGCTTTTAGATCAACCAACTTTTTAACCAGACATATAACATTTGATTTCGTGTGCTGAATTGTGTAATAATAAGAAAAATAAGGTTGAAGATACTTTTCTGCTTGTATTGGTTGAAAATATTGTAGATGTTAGTTATTTTTCATATAATTTCTTCTTTATTTTATTAAAAAAATATATTTTTTGATAAATCATCAGAATGGTCACTTCAATTAGTACTTCATAAATTTCGGCAGAATCAGTCGATCAGTACTTTATAAATTTCAGCAGAATCAGCCGATCCAGCTGATTTTAGTGTTAGCAAACGGACTCTAATATATCAAATTATATTATACATAATAATTAGAAGTAACCAAAAATATATTGGAGTATATGAGCAAGAGTAAATGATGGTTGTGATTAAGCCAATATAAGAACTTGTACTCGTACATACAAAACAATTAATTATGTAAATAGTGTTTTTAAGAATATTATGTAAATACTATCTTCGTTCTTTTCTAATAGCAATAGTTTGTTATTCACATTTGTCAAAGAGATTTTTTCCAAATTAATGCTGAATATAAAAATATTTATCAAATTGATTTTAAGTTAAAACTATTTCCCAATATACTGCCTATGTTAACTAAGGTTAACGATATCTACTCATCCGCTTCCTACACGTACGAACTACGAAGAAGAAGCATAGAGGCAGCAAAAATGGGAGAAGAGGCATTGGTGGGACCCAACAAAATAGAAAATCCCATTTTTTTAAAAAATGTTATAACCTTTTTATTTGTTCTCCGATTGTCACGAAAAATATGTCAAAATTCATAATTTTTTATTGGCTTTCATATAACACCCATATCATATATATAAAAATTTAAAAAAAAAAAAAGATTTAAAACGAGTTGTTTTTGAAAATGTTACTACCTCCGTCCCCCTAAGTTTGGGACAAGAGAAGGTGGCACGCTTATTAATAAAAGTGAGTTTATGTGGTTGATATTGAATTGATAAAGTAAGAATAAAGTAGGAATGATTTAGAACCACACAAACTTTACCAGATAAGATATGAGACAATCTTAATGGGACGGACCGAAATGGTAAAATGGAACAATCATAGCGGGACGGAGGGAGTATAATTTTTTTTATTTGTACTCCGATTATTTTAAAAGATTTATCGAAATTTATAACATTTTATTATATTTTATATGACACTAATATTTCATAGGTAGGAATATAAAAAATAGCAATTTCAAAAATCTATTTTTTATAGTGTTGTACCTTTTTTGTATTCTGATGGTCTAAGAAAATATATCGAAATGTATAAATTCTTATTGCTCCCTCTGTATTAGTTTATCTGTCTCATGCACTTTTGTTTTTGGTACACATCAAATCTATTATCTCATTTCTTTTTTGAAAAAAATCACATAAAAGAATCTACAGTATCAATAGAGTAGCGCCACATTCCCGATTTGTAAAGTGTTATAACAATTTATTTGTACTCTAACTATTACAAGTAATATAAAAATTCAAATCTTTTTGTTACGTTTCATATCAAACCAATATTGTATGGTTGAACTTTTTGTACTCCAATGCATTGTACCTGATTGGTTTGAACTTGCAAGTGTACAAGTGCCGATATAGTAATAAATTTCGGTAGAATACCGGGTCTAATCCGCAGGGAAACGTTGTTTAATTCAAGTCCGAGAGTAGATGACTTTAAAGAGAGAAATAAGTAAGGTGCAGTGATTTTGATTTGTGTGTTGTGAAAACAACAACTTGGTTCTTCTCTTTAATTTTTAGGAATATAACTTTAATTAATTTGAATTTAAGATGAATGATAACAACAACTAAGGCTTCAGGAATCACTTAAATGCTTTAATAGGGTTGAATATTAGTTCTTTGCCAATAATTATGAATAGGATGTCGCTAATATATTCTCAACTCCCGTTACGGCTTACATTCATCTACCGAAAACCCTGTTGAATATCAAGACATCACACCCGTATCATATAATACCGGATATATTTCTATTCTCGGTAATATATATGTTTATCCTTTAATGTTCATAGTTTAGACTTCAACGTTAATTGCAAGCATAAACTAAATTTAACATACTTCCATGTTGTACACCATAGTCATAAACAATCACAATGTAAAGGATAAATCACAATTTATTGGTTTAGAACTTTTATCAAACACCTAGTGGGCATAGAAGGTCATCCCTAGCCTTAGCCAAGAAATTAGCCTCTAATGCTCATATTAATCACAATACAATATTGAAATGTAATGGAACATGAAATTACAAAGGAAATAATACCTAAACACCAATGGTTTCAGAGGTTGAAGTTTTCTCCTCAAGAACTTGAAGAACAATAGCAAAACAAAGTATGAAAACTAGGAATTAAAGTATGGAAATGGGATGTTATTGCTTGATGAATTAAAGGCTTTATATAGGCTAAAGAATGACATCTTTTAGTCTATTTAAGCCTAACAATCGGGTATGGAAGCAATATTTGATCAGATATGGAGGAAGATGGGGTTTTCCCATCAGAAATCTTCTGCACGTTGGACTGTTTTAGCAGAAAATCGGACTAACCGGCGCCGGTTATAGCATGTCCGGCGCCGGTCAGGTGCAAAAATGCACCGGTCAGGTGCAAAAATGCACCGGTCGTTCTGTGCCGGTTGGAAACAGGCGTGAATTGGGAAAAAATCCCAATGACCAGCGCCAGATGTGGGATGACCGGCGCCGGTTCCTGCGCCCAATTTTGTACTTCGTTTCTTTTTCTCATTTGATGTCTGAAATTGATCCAGAAGTGCCGGTTTTCGACCCCTTTTTTACTTTTGACCCTATTTTTGTTGTTCCGAGCTGTATTTCATGTTTTCGCTCACTCGGGAATATTTACCTGTTTTTGCTTCATATTTTTGTACAAATAAATATAATTACTTATGTAAAACATAAGTAATTATTGTGCTTATCAGTGCCTCATTTGTTTAAATTTGCGAGTTTTTTTAAGTGTCATATGAAACCATTTTTTTAGCAACCAAAACTCAATGAAACCTTATCGGTTAAAAAACAACTTTTTAACATGAAATATTGGTTTCATATGACATGTAAAAAAAAAGAATTTAGATATATTCTTTGTAACATTGGAGTACAAATTAAAAAGTTATAACACTTTAAAATTTGAAGTTTTTTAAAATGATAAATTATTTTTTAATATGCATAAAATATAAGTTATGAAAGATAATAATACTGTATGTCTGTATGAATTTCATTAGTCAGATAAAATATATCAAGGTTCATAACAACTTATTATCTTTCTTGTGCCACTAATATTTCATACATAATACGAAGTAAAAAATAATTTAGCACTTTAAGAAAACTTCAATTTTTAAAGTGTTATACCTTTTTTATTTGTACTCTAATATTACAAATACAGAGGTTTTGTGTGGGTTTTTTTTTTCAAAAAAAAATGAAAAAATTAATTTGATACATACCAAAAGAGAAGTGCATGAGGCATATAAACTCATACGGAGGGAGCAATAACAATTTTATGTATTCCAATATTTTTTTAGACCATCGAAATACAAAAAAAGTGTAACAGTCTAAAAATAGATTTTTGAAAGTGCTAAATCATTTTTTTATTCTTACCAATGAAATATTAGTGTCATATAAAAGATAATAAAATTTTATGAATTTCAATAAATTTTTTAAAATAATCTATATAGAAATAAAACAATTATAATTAACAATTTCAAAAACAATTTCTTTTAAATCTTATTTTTTTTCTTTTATATATACAATATTGGTCTCATATGAAAGAGAATAAAAAATTATGAATATTGTTTTTTTTTTTGACAATCAGAGTACAAATAAAAAAGTTACGACATTTTTTTTTTTTTGAAAAAATGGAATTTTCTATCTTGTTAGGTTCCACCACTACCTCTTCTCCAATTTTGTGCGGCCCTTTGTTCTTCTTCATCGTACTAGCAAATGAGTTGGCCATATTAACCTGAGTTAGCATAGCAGTACATTGGGAAATAAGTTTAACCCAACACCAATTTGGTATATACTTTTTTTATTTAGCATTAATTTGGAAAAATCTCTTTGTCAAAGCACAACTTTTATTATAATTATATTTAATTATGTATTAGTAAATATCATAAAGATTTAATAATATTTTGGACTCCGTACATATTAATTTGATTACATATTACTACCTCCGTCCCGTTGGAAGGTTCCCATAGCAAAACGACACGGTTATTTAGGTGATAATTAAATAAAGTACTTCGGGTATATTTTGAAAAATAATTTTAATAGGCATATATTATAATGTGTTAGTATTGATAATTGTGATGTTATAAATGTATTGTTTTTAATATTTTATGACTAATTTGTCACTTAAGATTGTTAATTGTTTCCTACAATGGAAATGGGAACCTTCTAACGAGACGTCTAAAAAGGAAAGTGAGAATCTTCTAACGGGGCGGAGGGAGTATATATTAGTAGAAAATAATAATCAAAGTTAGATGTGTGAATTAAAAATCTCGATATTACAACTATTAAAGAATGGAAGAAGTATTTC